GATATGTCTTGCTCCCTCCCCTCCAGTCCCCTCCTCTCTCTCTCTGTCCCCTGTTCCCTGCCTCCCTCTCCATGCTCCCCTTCTGTTCTCCCTCGTCTCTAACTTATCCACCCCATCTCACAAACTGTTTTTTATTATTTTCATTTTTTTTTATCCCTTCCCCTCTCCTTCCCCATTCCTCCCCTCCCCCTCCTCTACTTATATTTTCCTCCTCTTGTTTATCCATTTCCATCCTGTCCTCCCCTTCCCCCCCTTGCTTTGTATCCCCGGGAGTGTTAGCCCAGTCTACCCTCCTCATTCCCTGTGGTCTCTCTGTAGTTTATCCCTCATTTCCCCCCCGGGCTTCTTATTAGGTATTGTGCAGGATTTCCGCCCATGTGTGGGTGTCCATGTGTTACCCAGTTGTAGCACTCTTTGTCTCTCCCTCCCCCCCTTCGTGTGTCTGCACTGATTTGTTATCCTACAGAGCATGGCATGATGAATTTAGTGGATTGTTTTTATCGTTCCAATGGGTAGGATTTGGTGCATCTCAGATCGTCCGTTTCCATCAGATAGGGCAAGACGTGGCGGGGTTTGGGGTCTGCTGTGTTCCACGTCCCCCTCTTGATCCTTAGCCCCCCTCCCAAATAAAAGTGAGCCTCCCATAGCTGTGTTTGCACATGTCATATGGCTTGTAACCCCAAATGAAAAACTCTCTCTAGGTGAAGCATAGTGGGATGTAACATCCCAGGTGCTTTGATGAAGTCCCATGTCCCTGTTTTGATCCTTAACCCCCCCTCCCCAATAAAAGTGAGTCCCCGCCCCATAACAGTGCTGGCATGTGTCATATGTGCGGCTTGTGTCCCGAAATGTTGTGGTGTTCAGCCTCATCTTTTACTCCTCCGATCTGGTCGGGCCGGGTGCCAGGGCCGTTGGTGTTGATACCGATCATGGCCCGGTTCTCTGCCTGGTGGTGGTGGTGGGCCGTTGAGTTGCTGAAGGAACTGGTGTGCCAGTCAGCTAGGCACCTGTACAGGAGGAAGGCCTAGCAAGCATTGAGATCCTGGGACATTGGGTGGGGCCTTGAATGTGTACGTTGTCTGTCCCTGGCGGGGTAAGGGATTTCCGCTGCTTGCAGTGCCATCATCACCGGGCGGAGAGCTATCTGTGCCTGTAGTGTGTAGCGGGAGAGATCTTGGTATATCACCATGGCTTGGTCGTCTATGAGTATTGTGCCTATGCGGCGGGCGGTGCGTAGTATGTCCTCTTTCAGGATGACATTTTCTAGGCAGCATACTATATCTCAAGGGGTGGTCTCCCGGTGCAGGTGGTGTGCACAGGGCGCGGTGTGCTCTGACTAGACCCAGTCTGGGGAGCTGTTGGCCACCCAGCACGTGGCCAAAGATTGTGCGCAGGAGTTCCGGTATGTTATCCGCTGGGCCACCCTCTCTCACTCCTCTGACTCAGAAGTTTAGTATGCGGCCCCTATTATCAAGGTCATCCACCCAGGTGGTTAAGTGGGCCATGCTTGTTTCTCAAGCCTGTCATCGGCTCATGGGTTTTGTTTAGGTCGGCGCGGAGATAGTGACTCTGGCATCGATATTTGCCATATCCACCCGTACTTGGGCAAATTCTTCCTGGACCACCCGGCTTAGACGGTTGGAGAGGGAGTATGGCATGCAGCTCCCCATCTAGCACCATCTGTGCCTCCGATGCATGGGATGAGGCCGGTGAGAACCTCGTGGGAGTTGCGGGTGGTGATCCCGGAGTTGGCTATGGGCCGCCATCTCGGGCTGGTATGTAAGATCTCTTGGTGTCGTTAAGTAGGTGCGTATTGACTGTTCCAGTCCTGACCCTGTTGGTTTCAGGGTACCGGAGGGTTCAGACGAGCGTATGGTGCACCCAATAATTGTCTGGTACCGGTGGAAGTGAGAGTTTTGGTGCGGTTTTAACGTGGGCCACATGGAGCTGAGCAGTTATGCCGCCATCTTCCCTGGCAGGCGGACACGTCCCGTCAAATCTGTAGTTTTTGGTACAGATGATGTATTGCTCTCTCTACAGCAGTCCTCTTCATCATGTCTGTTTGAGCTTGTCAGCAATATTTGTAATTATTTTCACTAGTCTGTATTTGAGAACTTTACTCTGTCTAGATAATTAACTGGGTAAGGAGGGCTATTCTTGTCACATCACTTTTGTACATTTAAATCTAGTTTATTTCTGTCATATTTATATGCAAAACATTCTGACCCAAACATCTTCATTTTGAAGAGGTTAGGCAATTTGCCCATTAACAGATAATATGGATAGTTATTAAAGCATCTGTTTTGGATATGAGCAGCAGTCATTACTGCCTATGTCCATAACTCCTTTGGCAATTTACTTTAGATCACTAGACATCTTGTCATTCCAAGAAGTGTTCTTCAGTTCCTCTCAGCGGTTTGTCCTTGATGGGGTGAGATATGTGCCATGGTCTCATGTCTTATACCTTGCTTGTTTAATAGTGACTGAACATTTTCGGCCATGAACTCATAACCATTGTCAGATCTTCTATGTTGGCAATAACTTATTATAAAATTAGAGTTTTATTTAAATAGTAAGTTAGATACTAACTTGGTTTGCACACAAAAATATGATTAAACAGTTGTAAACTCAATATGTGGAAATCAAGTAAATACAAACATTAGAATATATGTGTGGTAGAATTTATTGTTTTTAGAGAACAGTAATTGTCATGAACAGTGCCGCCTTGTTCAGAGGCTTTGAATAAGAATCGAATCTGGGAGCCAAATGAGCACCACTGAGAAAGCCGAATCCGATGCTCAGACACCCATAACTCTCACTCGGTAAACTGAACTAGAAGAGAGGAATACCGGAAGAAATTGTGTCACCCTAATACACTTAGCGGGCATTGCAGAGGATTATGGAATTTTGTGAAGGAACTGCTTCTAGAGCTACAGTGTAATGAAACGTAAGATTTCCAAACTTGTTACATTTTCTGTGTTTGTTTGATAAATATTTTTTTTCGTTTGTTAAACTTTTGATTCTATTAAATTGATTTTTTTATTTTTAAATATAAAAACTTAGTCTGTGTTTCCCATACCCGCTTTAAATGTTTGGTGACCTCTAGGGGGAATTGAACAACTGCTTCCTGACGGCAAAGCTCAAGGTCTAAAAAACTGTCTTATGGCATTCTCAGACTTTCCTACAAATGAGTGCTTTTTAAACACTAGTTCATTAGTTGTAACTTGTGAATGTAGATACTTTGTACCAGTTAAAAGTAATTCTAAAGAGTTTAGGCCTGTATGGTTTGGTATGTTATACATTTTGTAGCGTTATCTGGTTTAATCTATAGTCATTGATTTCTCACACTATTGTATTTTTATTTTAGAACCATATTGATTTTTTTGTAGCTATAGGAAGCATGGTTATACTTCTTTTATTGCAACCCTGTTAGTCTTGTTTATCGAAGCACACAGCAGACATTAAGCAACTCCCAGTTGCATGATAAAGTACATTTAAATATAGTTACAGAAAAAAATAAAGCCACAAGAAAGCGATCTGGTGCCCAATCAAGCTGAAAAGAAGAATTTGACAGTGGAATCAGCACAGGACAAACTGACTCTGGCTAATTCTCGTTTTTTGCTGCCTCTCCCTTAACCTGACCTCGGCTCGTCTCTGATTACACTTTAGCTCTATTTGACGTTTATTACAGCCATTCTTAGGCCTGGTAATACATTATATCCTAGTCTTGTCCCTTGCTATCCTAAACTCTGTGTGTTGGGGTATTACACTGTGACAGTTGTATTTTAGTCATCTGAATTGTTTTCGTTTTAGTCTAGTTTTAGTCGACTAAATCTCCAGTATTATTTATTTGACACAACTAAAATCTAATCAGTTTAGTTAAAGCCTCTGTCTCTTATGCCCCTTCCATAGCCCCTCTGTGGCTCTTTGTGTCCTCCCAGCCCCTCTAGGTGTCTTTCTCTCAGGCCCTGGTCTATCTCTTTTGCCCCTTCCACCACCCCTCTGTGTAGTGTTAATTTTGACGGCAAATTTCAATTCAGTTTTTGTCATAGTATTTTGACTAAAATGCCATTCTAGTTTTAGTTGTATTTTAGTCATCTGATTTGTTTTAGTTTTAGTCTAGTTTTAGTAGACTAAATCTCGAAAAGTTTAGTCAACTAAAATTTGACTTAAATTGTTAAGTCAACAAAATGAACACTGATGGACTTGAAGAGTATGGGATTGTTAAAGTTCTAACAGGTAATTTTGTGCCACATTTGCCTGGACCCTTAATAATACATCAAATATTGGTGGTCTCTCAGACAATAAATCCATTAACCCTCTTTTTATCAAGTACAACAAGAGGTTGGTGAATGTCCTCGCCATAATGCCTTTTCCAGGATTGTTCATGGCACTTTGAAAAGAAACTCTATATATGGATCCGGGCTATATCCTTTTTACCCGATGTCAGCATCCAGCTAATCAATATCCTCAAATCTGTTTTTGTTACAGTGTTCAGTCAGTGAATTCAGTGCACAAAGCAAAGTCACAGAATGTAGGCTCTATAACTTTAAAATTCGTTAACGCAAATCATTACTTAATTCACCAACAAACAATATAGTGTACTAACCTTTTTGGTATAAAACAGCAACAAAAAAACTGTGAGCTGATTGCGAGTTCATTTGTGAAGAGTTCTTTTCACCACGTCTCTGTGAACAATACGTTCTATGTCAATACTTGTTGTTTTATATCCTCAATGTATTATTGGCCAGGGCTGCTGAATAAATAATAATAATTATTATTATTATTATTATTACTAACCACAAAAAATCAACACAAAGCTAAAAGTCTCCAAGCTTTTGCTAGATGTAAATCAATGTGCAAGTTCTGTTTTAGTCTCTGAAGAATTGGTAATGAGGCAATATTTCTCTAATTTTCCATTCTCTCTATTTAAAACATAATTATCAATGATGCCTTCAATGGGTGTGTGATCCCATACAGGATCTGTCAGCTATGATCAACTAAAGAAAAAAAAGTTACCTGCGCTCTCTCCTTAATCCCTATGTATATTTAAACAAATGGAGGTCAAATAAATGTAAATATACATAGGGATTAAGAAGAGAGTGCAGGTAACTTTTTTTCTTTGGTTTTTACTATATGTATTAGCTGATGTGTACTGTGGTCGTTGCTGCCGCCCAGGAGTGATGAGAGTGAGCGCAGGACTTTTCTTTTTGTATTTATGATCAACTAAACCTGGTCCATAAATGTCCTACCTGTCTATAACACTATCGGTCATTAATCCACTACTTTTAAAATCCAAATGTAACTGTTACATATCTTAAGTTTATGAAAACAGAGGGTTTACACGAAGGAGCAACATAGTGAAGAGAACTTTCACATGATTAACGCTGTGTAAAACATTTCATAGAAACATAGAATGTGACGGCACATAAGAACCATTTGGCCCATCTAGTCTGCCCAATTTTCATTAAAAAGAAATATATAAAAATGGAAGAGAATTTATGTTCTAGTTGTCCATTTCTTGTCATTCATGAAGAATGCACGATAGAAGCAAAACGGTACATGAGTTTTTCACATTTTTTTATTACGTTTCTGTCTGCTGATGGGTAGAATTTTGTAGGACTATTTTAACATTTCTATTCTTCTGTAATGTATTTAATTTACAGGTGTCCTAGCCTGCATTAAGTTAACTAAATATGAAACAGAGATAAAACATAGATAAATAGCCAAAGAATAATTGAAAACATAATGTAGTCTATATAAAATGAATAGCTGGTGTAATCATAATGCTCTCAATCAACCTTAGCCATTTGCATGACAGATGAGTGAGCAGATTATTTCTTTGAACCTGATTTTGATATGTAACTTTACAAGGAGCTAAGCTTAAAATTAAATACAGCTGAAAGGGTTTTATACTATAGATGGACAGCTTCCAACATGCCTGAACCAAGAAAAAAGAAAAATGAGTTCTATTAAAAAAAAAAAAAAAAGTAATTAAATGTTTTTCTTTGCTTGTGTTTTTTTTTCTTTGCCTCTTATAAATCAAATGCCACTTTTTACAATTACAGTAACATAGCATTTCTCTCATATAGAAAAAGGTTGTCAAACTGAAACATTCCCATCTGCACCACTGATGCAATAAATGACAATGGAAGGATTGCTGGAGTCTCTTGATATTTTTTACAATTAATATACCGGCCTCAGAATTAATCAATAACCCCCTAAAGGTCCACATATTTCTATTTGTGACAGGTAAATGTACCTGCTGGTAGAAACGATTAAAGTATGAATGGAACATTGTTTTAGAGCTTGTGAAGAACATAGAATAACAACTCCTGGGTAATATTTTTTTTTAAACAAAGCCACCTTTTATTGATTAACAAGCCTTATACCTAATTTGTACTCATTTTTTTTTTGTTCACGTCTGTAGACATTGATAAATTAGTCCCATAAAAAAGGGGGGAGAGGTTATTGTACATGAGTGCCAATCAGAATATCCTACAACTTGTGTTGAACTTTTTTTTATGTGACGCTCTGCATTTTTAAAATTATATTGAAGTTGTAGCAAATGACACCACAATAACTAACAGGGAGCTAAGATGGAGGCACTGAGTTGCAGGATAAATTGGCAGTGGGTGCCTCCCTCCATTTTAGCTCCTTGTTAGTCAGTGGCGTACATACCAGGGTCGCAGGGGTCGCGGCTGCGACCGGGCCCGGCCCACCAGGGGGCCTGGCCGCCCCTGCGACCCGGTATGTACGCCCAGGGCCAGCCTCTTCCCCTGGGGGGCCCAGGAGCCGACCACCCCAGGGCCCCCTGAGGCTGGCCATGCTGACCCCGGGTGGCAGGTGGCCGGTCGGGCAGGCAGGCGGGCGCGCGAGGGAGCACTCAGTGCTTCCTCTTCAGCTCCCTCGCGCGCCGCGTAGGGATGCCGGAGCCGGAAGATGACGTGCGCGCAAGGGAGCTGAAGAGGAAGCACTGAGTGCTCCCTCGCGCGCCCGCCTGCCTGCCCGACCGGCCACCCGCCCAGGAGCCCAGCAGCACCACTGGACCCCAGGGAATCCCCCCAGCACTCCAAGAGGTAAGGAGGCTGGGGGGATTAAATTTAAAAAAATAAATAAAAAAAATCATGTGTGAGTGTTAGTGAGTGTTAGTGTGAGTGTTAGTGTGTGTGAGTGTTAGTGTGTGTGAGTGTTAGAGTGTGTGTTAGTGTGAGTGTGAGTGTTAGAGTGAGAGTGTGTGTTAGTGTGTCTGCTAGTGAGTGTCAGTGAGTGTTACTGTGTGTGTCTTACTGAGTGTGTGTTTGTCAATGAGAGTGTATGTTTTGTAAGTGAGTGTGTATGTATGTCTGTCGCTGACTGTGTCTCTGTCAGTAAATGTGTGTGTCTGTTAGCTAGTGTGTATGCGTCTGTAAGTGAGAGTGTGTGTGTCTTCAGCACTTACCTTTCTCCAGCGCCGGACTCCCTTGGCGCTGAGGATCCCTCAACCTCTCAGCTCCGAATGCGACCGCGCACGCATTCAAACCGCCCATAGGAAAACATTACTCAATGCTTTCCTATGGACGTTCAGTGTGCTCCTCTAGCGGCTGTCAGTGAGACAGCCACTAGAGACTGGATTAACCCTCAGTGAAA